CACTGGTGAAATAAGGCGTGGTCGTTCCCACACCAAACACTTACCAGGGGCCAGACCCTGGGGATGCACTACCCCTGCTCCCTGCCCTTCTCTCTCCCTCCCTCCCCTGTGGTCTGTCTACCCTCCCAGAGGCACATGCCCCTCCTAGAATGTCTTGTTCCAGGCATTTGTGCCCCGGAGTCTAAAGGGATGCTCAGCCAGTGGTTGGGGACGAGCAAATGTTTCCAGCGAGTGAGAACAGAAGGAAGGGGGGCAGCTGCTGGCTCGCTGCATTGCCCACCTGGCCAGGGGTCCCTCTGCCCTGCAGTCTTTGACCCTGATTGGCCGAAGACCTTGAGAGCCTCCTCCGACATTGGAGGCTTTGTCTCCAAATGGCCCCACAGAGAGGCCACTTGCTGATGCTCATGTTCACCTCTTCAAGATTAGACAGAGTCCTCTTTAATTATCACGGTCGCCCCTCCTCCTGGGCCCAAGGAGCCCCACGCCTCTCTCCAGGAGGCCAGACAGCGGGGCTGGCCCCAGGCGGCTCTGGTGTCCGCTGGAATGTCACACGGTTGCTTCAGCGGTTTGGGGAGGGAGGAGCTCTCGGCGGGGCACCTCTCCTGCCTTCCTCAGGGCTCCAGCGACCCCTGCTGTCCCCAGCACCGGTGTCTTCTCTGGCTGTTTCTTATGGCCCTTCCAGACCAAATGAAAGCCTTTGTCGTAAACCCTGGGCCGGGCTGCCCTGCAGAGCCTGCGGCTCGGCGTGCCACGGCCCTGGTGAGCCTGGTGGGAAGGGGCTGCCCCGGGCCAGGCCCGCTCAGCTCCTGATGTCGGGACGGCTACAGAGTCCAGGGCCCCGTGCAGAATGAAGTGGGGGGCCCTCATCTGGACCAGGGATTTCAAGTCAGTGACAGCAGAGCATTTAACCACACACGGTCCCTCCTGTGCATCGGGCCTGCAGGCTGTGCGGTCTCAGGCCGTGAAACTGGCCCCCTTCGAGGACGGGCAGCGCAGGTGGGCTGTCAGCCAAGCCCGCTTCGGAGGACGCGGCCCCAGCGCCTGCTGACTGCAGATCCACCCCTGAGAGAACCCACACCCAGTGGGAAGGCACTCCCTTTCATTTTATTTTAATTACTTGGGAAACCTTGAGCTCAAAAGGAGACCTGCTTTTGGTGTTTCTGGGTAACTGTTTCTCCTCGGCATTTCACACCAAAGTCAGCACTGGAATTCCCGGTTCCCCCGCAAGAGTCCAGCCCCACCTTCCTGCCGCCCGCCCGAGCTGCTGCTGCCACGGCCCGCCGAGACGGCTCAGCCCAGAGGACGAGGACACAAGGGGGCGTCTGAACGCCGATGGCCGCTCCAGGGAGTGCGTCGCCTGCCCGCCCCCGTTGCTCCAAGGGCAGGATGGTCGATCCACCAAGTGCCAAGGCAGTGACTAGCATCCTGCAGAACAACCTAGGCCCCCATGCACCTCTCACGCACACCTCCATTTCCGCTTGTTCCTTTCGCCCGATGTGACCCCAAAGCCTCGCTCAGCACCAGACTCTGCCCAGGAGACACGTGGCGTCCGAAGCTAGATGGCTCTGCAACAGGCCCCCTCAGAAAAGCCGGGGGTCACAGGCTGGCAGTCCCCGGGGATCAGGGTGGCATGCTGGGCCTGGAGGGGAGGCCTCTGGTCCTCTGCAAGGACGCCTGGAGGCCACAGCCCCTCCTCACCCAAGCTGGCCAGAGAGGAAGCAGAGAACTTGGCCAGGGGGGCGGGGTGGGGGGGAGGGGAACCGTCCACCTGTCCCTGTACACTCGGCTCCGTGTCTGGGCCTCCATGGACCTGCTCACCTCCAGACACTTGGCACACGTTCCCTTCTGTCTCCCGCCACGTCCTGAGGTTCCATCTTGGGAGATGAGAAATCCAACCATGCCACCATGTATTGTTTCCTGCTTGCTCTCATGAACCAGGAAATGTGCTCCAGGGGGGTACCCACCTCAACCTCCTCAGGCCCCATCTCAGAAGTGAGGAATGTCTCCCGGGGCCACCCCTGGCTGCCGCCTCCAGCAGGCTCACCCCTAGACCCCACAAGGTGACAAGTCGGTAGGAGATGACGGGACCCAGATCGGGGGAGAGGTCAAGTCCATATGCCGAATTCCAGATTGAAACCTCATGTTCCATCTTGCGACTCTCTGTCCCAGTGCGGTGAAGCCCTCGGGAACTCTCCCGTCCTCCCTGGGGTTGGGAAGCCGCTCTGGGCAGTCCTCACACTCCTTGTGAGACTAAGGCATGAGCCCCTCTCAGGACTGTCACCTCGCAGGATGCACACCAGAGCCTTCGGGGGCAGCTTGCAAGTGTGTCAGCTCCCTCTGCCGCGTAACAAGCAGGCACAAACTCAGCGGCTTAAAATGACACCCATTTCCGGGCTCGTGTTCTGTAGGTCAGAAGTCTGGTGGGCTCTGCCTTAGGGTCTCACAAGGCGGAAATCAAGGTGATGCATACCTGGAGGCGTCTGCTTCCTGCTCATCCAGGTTGTGACGGATCCAGATCCCCCTTTCCCCGCTGACTGTCGGCCAGGGCCCCTCTCACCCCCTTAAGACACCCGCATTCCTCGGCACGTGGCCCCCTCCACTTTCTCCAGCAGCTATGCCCTGAATCTGCCCTCAGCGTCAGCTTCTGACTCCCGTGAAGCCACCAGCCAAGGCAGCACCGTGATTTTAGAGCCACGAGGCCGCCTCGTCCCACCCAGACATTTCCCCCCGTGTCTAAAATGTAGCCCAATCACGGGGCGACCCCCCATTGCATCCACATCTGGGGATCCACTCGCCACATCCTCCGGCACCTTTGACCACGTCTCCCACCTGAGAGCAAGCTGATGAACTGTGGACACGGGTCGCTCGGAGACCACCAACAACACGTCAGTGTTCAAATGCATGAAATGAAGAATGGTCATGTTGGCTTTTGCAGGATGATTCTCTAGAAGGTTCTCCGGAGGGTTCCATGCATAAGACCTGAATGCTGCCACTACTCTCATCTTGGGCAAATTTCCTAATCCTCCTGCGCCTCCCTTGCCCCATCTGTGAAGTAAAGATCCGGACGATAGTGGTGTCAAGGGTGCTCGTGGAAGCTGAGGCGGGTCACCCACGCGGTCACCGACGCAGGCTCCGGGAGGAAGCCTCCAGCACCCACGCACAGGCGCGTCCAGGGCCCACATGGAGAGCTGCGTGGTCCAGGCTCCAGGAGGAAGCCGGCGGCCCGCAGTTAGGACACGAAGCAGAGCGAGCCGCCGAGAGGAGGCGGGCATGCACGCACGAGTTCCTCCCTGCTCCTGTCCCCGCGGGGACGCGACACCAAGCCCCTGCGTTCGTGTTTCCCCGTCTCGCTTCCGCGGCGAGAAGGGACAGACGTCCTGCTCACGGCATCGCAGGGGCGGCAACCTCCCTTTGCATGCGAGGCTCGGGTTGGCAGGTCACGGAGGCGACCAGAGCTCCCCCGGTGCCATCGTGTCTCCGCACCAGGTCGGGACGGCCCCCGCCAAGCCCACCGCGCGTGCCCAGCCCGAGAGGTGGACGGCGGCCTCCCCGCCAGGCCACATTGCCAATGCCAACAGCGTCGCCTTTAACTGTAGCCCCAAGTACCTTTTCTCAGCGGCTTCTTGACCGGCTGGAAGAGCTGAGCTGCAGGACGGGGGGCAGGGTGGGCCCGAAACTGCGAGGGGTGCTTCCCGGCCCTTCCACGCGGTGCTCGGAGCCGAGGCGCCGGGGGCGTGGTCACCTCTGGCCCCCCGGGAATCGGGCCTAATGTGTGTCCTCGCAACATCGCAGGCCGGCGTCCCCTGGGAGGCTTCTCCTCAAACACCCCACTTCAAGGGTAAAATTCCACTCGGGGCCGTGGGGACCGAACCAAGCGCCGGGGCTGGTGTAGACACTGTTGGCCGGAGCCTCCCTGGGGCAGGAGCGCCGCCTCCTCCTTCCCAGAGGCTGGTAGGGCGGCCATGACGCGGGGCACCAAGGAGGAGAGGGCCGTGTGGACCCCCCGCCCGGAGACACGTCCCCCCACAGGCCGCAAGCACGCGCTCTTCTCGCACCCTGGGCGTGGCGCTGTCCTGTGGCAAAGACCTCGAGGTCCGATGTGAACAGCTTGCAAGGTGATGGGGTGTCAGCTGAGAGATGTGTGACGGTCACAGCTCTGGTGTGGACAGACCTCGGGGAGACCCTGCCCCTTTCCACCCCCTGTTCCCCCCCAAATCCCAGGTCCTGCATGACCCTCCCCAGCCGCCCTGCTGCCCCCAGGCCTCCGCTGCTCCACGTCCCCTTTGGGACCTCACACCTATTCCTCTCCCTGCCCCATTCACCAGACCACAGCTCAAACGTCACCTCCTCTGAGACGCCTGCCTGGCCTCCTCCCAACCCCAGCCAGTCGCTCCATGTGCCTTCTCTCCCTTCTTGGTGTCCGTCTCCCTTCTCGACGAGAAGCCCCAGGGCTGGGCCTTGTCTGGACCACTGAGCAATAATCTAGGGTCCAGCCGGTGCCTGGTACATGGATGCCCTTGACAGATCCTGGTTGAGTGGATGAACGGATGAATGAATGAAAAATCCAAAAATTGGGGTGCCTGGGTGGTTCAGCTGATGAAGCATCCGACTCATGGTTTCAGCTCAAGTCATGACCTCAGGGTCCTGGGATCAAGCCCCGCGTCAGGCTCTGCGCTCAGTAGAGAGTTTGCTTGTCCCTCTTTCTTCCCCCCTCCCCTGCTCGCTTTCTCTCTCTCTCTCTCTCTCAAATGGGTAAATAAAATCTTTACCCAAAAAAAATCCAAAAATTAAGGGTCCTCTCACAGCTCTTCCCCGTGTCTCCAGAGGAGAGCACCGAGGCTCAGAGGAGTTTCATGGCATGTCCCAGGCCCACCCCCCTGCCAAGACTGTCCCTTGGGGGACCCAGGCCCTTACGTCAGCGCCAGCCCAGAGCTGTGGGCCGGCAGGAACCTGCCCTGGGCTGTCCCCAAGGCTGACAGTGTCTATGCTGCTTTCCAGCTCAGAGCGCACGCAGTGGACATGAATGGCAACAAGGTGGAGAACCCCATCGACCTGTATATCTACGTCATCGACATGAACGACAACCGTCCCGAGTTCATCAACCAGGTCTACAACGGCTCCGTGGATGAGGGTTCCAAGCCAGGTGAGCCCCCGGCCCCTGAGGAGCGCCGAGTGAGTGGGAGTCAGCAGGCGAGGAGGCCCCATGCTCAGGGAGCCGTGACCACCCCACGGGCCTCCTCCCCATGGAGGCGCTCACTTAGCAGGTGCATGTCACACTCACTGCAGGCCGCACGGGACCCCGGGAGCAGGGCCCCTGCTTCACGGGCTCCTCGGTCCAGAGGGGGGTGCAGACAAAAGCCAAGCTAAAGCAAGTACTTAAAGCCTCGGCATGGATAGTAAGGCTCGGAAGGAACCCAGGGGCGCTGAGAGTCATGGAGGCGCCTGTAGGTCAGGGAGGACCCCTCTGTGGAGGTGACATAGAGGCTGAGAGCTGAGGCATGACAAGGAGCCTCTTGGAGAGAAGGTCTGGGGGGTGGGGGTGTGTTGGAAGGGAGCCTGGGGAAGGAAAAGGCACGGGCAGAGGTCCTGGGGCAGGAGACGAGGTCAGAGAGAAGACCCGACATCCGAGGTCTCCCGCACCACACTTTCCATTTTATTCCAAACCCCGTAGGAAGCCCACGAGAAGGCCAGACTCCCGCGGCCCCAAGCGGTGAGCCCGCATGCCTGCAGGCCTCAGTTCCCCTCTGAGCTGACCCAAGGGCCAGTCTTACCCCAGACTTCAGTTTGGCATAGATGACCTTGACCACGTGATCGTGCGCCACGGCCCTTGCTAAGCATGTCTCTGCAGGGGAAGGGCCCCTTCCCTCTCCTCTTTAGCAAAGACAAACCCGAAGGTCCCAGGAGGTGTGTGGGGGGGCCAGAACCCCCAGCCGATGCTAGACCTGGCCTGGGAACCGGCAGCAGCACCTGGGAATGCAGTAGAAATCTAGAACCTCTCAGCCCACCCCCCTCCCCGACTCAGTCTCTGTAGGTGAGCAGCGCAGCCCTGCACTGCCTGCTGTCTCCTGCAGGGACGGGCGGCATCCCTGGGCCAGCTGCCCAGCCGGGGGCTGGGCGGGTGGAGCTGAGCTGAGCACCCCCAGGGCCGCCAGGAGTAGCCACTGAAATGCAGGATGCCCAGGGGCACGGGAGGATCAGAAGAACAACTATTTTCACGCATACTTATGCACCAGGCAACATTTAGGAGCCGCTTACAGTGACGAAGTACTGCTTTTGTCCTGAACTTCAAGTGTCCCCGGGGTCTGTAGCTTAGCGGGCAACCCCACCCCGGCGGCCCTGGCGAGTATCCCGTCCCGGGAGGGCGTCCGGGCTCCTGGGAAGGCCTGTGGCTCTGGGCACACGGACCCTCGAGCACCGGGAGCCTGAAGCTCAGCCGGCTTCCCGCTTCCTGTGCTCGGAGGGGTCAGCCGCATCCCATGCAGCCCACGGTGGGGTGGCGAGGCCAAGCATTTATCATCGCTTCCCCGCCCGGAGCAGGTTGTCATAGTTCCGTCTCCAGGGGCTGCTTTTTCAGCAAGGTGAATTGTGTTTTTGATTGATTGTCTCGGAATCGTGAGATGCAGGCCAGCCCAGTGTCAGTGAAGGCATGTGACATTATGTCTGCCCGCACCTTGGGCAGCTTCTCCCCACAGCCCCTGAGGAGCAGGGACAGGCTGCCGACGGGCAAATTAGCTCCAAGCGGCCAGCTCCTTAGGCAAGGGGGTGGGGTCGTGGGTGTCAGGCTTGGGGGTGCTTTCTCGTTAGCACAGATATGGCGGGCCTCTCTCCCCACGACCCGGCACACTCCATAAAGGTGCCTGGATATCATAAATCACACCTCCCTTGTCTTACTTTAGAACAAATCAATAGAGAAAGTCTTCCCAAATGTGTAACTGGCTTTACTCCTTAGGATAACAAAAGCAGCAAATTGTTGTGGCTCCTCCTCAAAATCCTGATAAGCTTTTAAGCCTGGAGATCGGAGCAGCCCCCGCCCCCCCATCGCCCCATCGCCCCAGCTCCACCGGGCCACTTGGAATGCCGAGCATGGCCTGGAAGACCGGAAGGCTGGTGTGGATCCCAAGACGGGTCCTCTTTCCCCGTTCATTCCTGTGTCTTTCATGGACTGTTTGCACTAGGTGTGGACTGACTTTCAGGGTCCCTGGGGGACCCCGCGTCTGTCTCTGATCCCGGAACAGCCCTCAGAGGGGAACAGGGATGCCACGGCTTTGTGCAACGCCCGGGACGCAGCGGGGCCGTGCTGCTCCCTCATGTGCCCGGCCAAGGCGAGTTGACCCCAGACAAAGCATGCCGTGGTGTCCTGGAGGCAGAAGCGCCCAGGGCTCGGAAACAGTCTCCAGGGTGTCCTCCCTTGCGTCAGTTAATCACCGTAATAGAAGGTTTCACTCGGTGCCTTTGCAGGGTAAGGAAAACCTATCACCAGAAATTAGCCATTATTCCCTGGCATGATGGGTTAAGGAAAGGTTTCAGATGTACATTCTAAAGGAAAACAAATGGAAAGGTGTATTAAACATTGACTCACCCAGATACAAACCTTTTAAGGTTTGGGTAGTTCATATGGGGACATTAGCAAAGTGACTCAGGGGTGGAGTCTCAGGAGGAGCCCACATTCACCCCACATTCTTTCCCCAGCCCTGGTGCCCCGCCACAGTACGGAATCCTCTTTGGTGCTGCTGGATAATACAGGCTCGGAGGGTGTGGAAGCCCCAGGGTGGCCCGTCCTATTTGGTGCAGCAATGGTCATTGTGGTTTGGGGTCAAGAGTGCCCGCTACTCTGATCTCAGCTGTTAGATTTCTGGGTCTCCAAAACCCACCTTGAGAGCCCCTGGAAAAGGGAACGCATTGGCTCACATAATTGCCAAGTCCAGAGACAGGAAGCAATCTCGGGTGCTGTGGCTAGAGTGGGACTGGCCAGGGCCTTGCTTACCTCGGTCTGACTCTCCCCTCCTTGGTGCTGGCTCATTCTCAGGGAAGTTCTCTCTTCCTGTGGACAAGACGCCTCAGCAGCTGCAGACATAACCATGAGCCCCGGGAGAGGTCCCACTTCTTGCTGGAGTCCAGCAGGGGCCCTGGGAGATCCCCGTGATCTGGCTTGGGCGCTGTGCCCATCCTGAGGCAGTCCCCACGGCCAGTGCATGGACAGTGAGCCTCTTTCAGGCACAAACAGAGTCTGGTTCTACACCCCTCCAAGTCACTGGGTCTGACCCTGTGGCTGGTGTGGATCCCCCCCAAGGAAAACCAGATCGTTGCTTCAGAAAAGGGGGCTGGATACCAGGTAGGCTCAAATAGCAGGTGTGCATCACATGCAGTTGCAAGAAATAATAGAGACACCCCACAAATCTTCACCCGTTTCCCCCGGTGGGAACAGCTCGCAGAACTGTCATGCATGATCACGCCAGGACGTTGACACTGGTGCAGTCACAGACCTCACTCACACGTCGGCAAGTTTCCCAGCGTGCGCCCACGCACACGTGTGTGGGTGCGCTTCCGTGCAGTCTCCCCACGTGTGTAGATTCCTGTGACCGCCGTCAAGCTGCTGAACAGCTCCATCGGCAGGGCCCCTGTACTGCCTTTCAGAACGACAGCTTCTTCCCTCCCCCACCACCCACCCACCGACCCACCATCCCTAACCCCTGCCAGGCGCTGCTCTAAGACCTCCCTTCGGATTCCCTTCTTGAACGCTGCGACAGCCCTACCGGATAAGCACTTTCCTTTTCCGCACTTTGGAGATAAGGGAGCGAAGGCATAGAAAGGAGGCAAGATTTAAACCCAGGCAGTCTGGCTCGTGAGCCACAGTGCTCACCATGGTACACACTGCTTCCCCTCCCCAGTCTGTGTCAGGAATGCATTCGGCCGCAAGTCACAGAAAACCCACCTTTGTACCAGGAGGGGTTTGGGGGAGAGCTTGAAGCTGCCCATGCCTCTCCCTCTGGTTTCTCACCCCATGGTCCCTTGGAGGCCCTCCAAGCATCACATCCACTATCAGGCAGAAGGAAGGAGAAGGAAAGAGAAGGACAGAATGTAGCACGGGCAGTGTCCCCCCAGAAAAGCACAGGTTGTGTATGAAAGTGCCTTTCTCCAGGATAGAAAAATATAAACCCTACCCTCAAGAAGTCCATCGTCCAGTTGAGGAACCCAGAAATCCGTACGTTATGTACGTGTGAACGAGTGGTAGAGATGCACATCCAGCAAAGGCAGAGAAGCAAACATGCCAGGCCTTCAGGAAAGGAGAGCATTCTTCTGCCTCAGGGCCTTTGCACATGCTGTGCCCTCAGCCTGAATGTCCTCTCCCCAGTCACTGTGACACTGGCCCCTTTTCCTCCCTCAGCTCACGTATCACTCCTGCAGAGGTGTCTGCCCTGCCTGCTTTCCATTAATACTGCCTTACTTGTTGGGTTAGTTACTCAGTTCGCGGCCAGCTTGCAGCACTGGGCAGAGATCCTATCTGTTCTCCTCACCTGGACAACGGCAGGACTCAGTGGACCCCAGCCCTCGCCTGACCCTCTGGAGGCTACCCGGTGCTCAGGACAGGCCCGGGTCCTGCGTCCTGGAGCTCGGAGCTGCTCGGCCATCAGCTCTACCAGGCAGGCTTCGCGAACCTCGCAAGGAAAGAGTAATAATCCACAGTGATTATCTTTTAACTAAAAAAGGCTTTAATTGGAATTCCTGATTTCCCTAACCCCTTGTAAGTGTGTGAGGGCCTATGTTATAAATTCTGAAATTAACGTCACCTTAAAATATTAAATAGCAGAGAAATCTATATGCTGAAAATGAAGTCAAAGAAGGCTTCGTCTAGATAATGCAGAGTTTTTGCTTAAATAGATTATTCTATTAGCGGTCCGTTTATTTATTTATTTTATTTCTGTGCCGGCGGAGTTCTCCCTGAGATGAATGCCACGGACTAATGCACAGATGGCACACATACTCGAAAGTCATCTGAATATTAAGAATTTAAATCTTTAGCCTCAGTGATTTGAGCAGAAAGCCAATTATGGGGCTGAATTAGTTTTCAAATTAAACTGCAGTTTAAGGCTTGTGAAATTAATCCTTTAAGGCGGACAGCCGCGCTCGAACATGAATTCCGAG